ATCTTATATATAAAATAGCGTTTAACGTTTTAACGCACATTGGATTTCTTTGCTTAGTTTTTATTATATTCATTGAACTAAATATTCGCTCTACTTCTGCATTACTTATAGGCAAAACAAGAAAACTAAAAACTAGGTTGGAAAGGTCAGCAAACTTCGTCTCAAAATTTTACAGTTGAGTCTAAATTACTCCAGGTATGTAACGTTAACCGTTGCCATTGCATCTCTATGGATGTTATTTCGTCGGCATTATATTTGTGTTTTTGTTGCTGTAGTTGAACAAATACTTTTGGTTTATTTACTCTTAATGCATTTCCAACCGAAAAAAGTCAATTTTTTTTAGTGTGGCAATATTTGTAGGGAGGCGTTGGCGTAATTCCTTTATTAAAGTGATAATAAAATAGCGACCATTTTCTCGAATTATTTTCTCGGCTTCGTGGTCAAAAGCGTTTGTGCTTACTTTTGTTTTTAAATACTCTTCAAAACTGTGATAAAACTGAGGAAATGGAGAAAGGTATGGTTCCAACGGGGAGCATATAGGATCAAATGTGTCCGCGCTAATAACCACTAGGGAGCATAGATGCGAAAGTAAAACATTGAGTTCATTAAAAATCTTCATTGGGTCTGCATTATTGCTTTCGAACAACTTGTTTACTTTTTGCACCTGAAAATTAGGCAAATAGTAAAATCGGCTAAAAACGGCTAACTTTTTTTTACAAACCGGCTAACAAATCGGCTGCCGGCTAGATCGAATTTTCTCCGGCTAGTTGCTATCAAAACCGGCTAAATCTAGCCGGAAAACGGCTAAAATGGCAACGCTGCTTCTAACTGCTGTTATTTTAAGTTTGAGTTTCTGACATTTGAGTCCATAACTGTCCTCGTATTTTTTTTTTTTTTATAAATAGGATGTCAAAGGAAAATCTTTAAAATGGCAGGAATCTTTAAGAGACTCCTAAAACCCCCTAAGACCCCTTTGTAAAATTATGAAGACAGCATAGAAGTGTGGTCGAAGAAAAATCTTAAGTTAGTGAAATCCACGCAGCAATCCTCCAATGATATAATAAAAAAGGCACAAACAACAAAAAAAATTTAAAAAACACAAAACAAAAGAAGTTTATAAACAATAAGAAAACAATATCATAAACAACACAACTAAATATTATATTCAAATGTACATTAGGGTGGCCCAAATTTTTTTCCTCCAGCCACCCCCAGATCCGAAAAAATTCAAAAATAAGGCGACACGTGTTTTTTTCTTAAAATTGTTATAAAATCGTTAAAAGTAAATATTTCTTGATCGAATATTTAACTTAAAAACTAACTAAGTGTGTTTTAATAACCGATAATCCCATCTGTTATATACACAAATTAGTTATTTTATGTTTTCATAACCAAATCACGCACGAACAGCTCAATGGATGTGTTTAATTCTTTTTTGCATTCTACTCGACGTTTTCTGTAGGTTTGTGGTAAAAATTTTGATAAATAGAATTGCCAGATATTTGAAAATTTAAAATTATTTAAAGGTCAATCAAATATTTATGTTTCTTCGTCAAACTAAAAGCGTTTGAAGACATTTAAAAATATTTTTGAACTGGGTTGCCACCCTTCTAAAAAATGGAACAATGATTATTAACATTTAAGTTTATGTAATACTACAATATGGGTATCGCGTGAAAGCTTTGGACTAACATGTTTTTATATAGGGTTGCCACCCATCTGTTAAGATGAGGTAATTATGTAAGTTAAGTGAAATGATGCAATATGCATTCTTGCACATTCGATAGTTAGCGACGATATATCGCACTCATGTTAATTATTTAGATAGTGCCGACTCTATCCAGGATATGTGGGGGTTAAAACTTCATTTTAACACCTTTTATTTAAAACCCATATTTTACTTAACCGCATGTACCTACAACCCTATCCGATGTATGTGAATTAAAGTATGCATTTTCTTAAACTTTGTTGGGAGTGCATAAACCTTCTATTTGATACCATATTATGGTATTAAGTAAGCTTGAATTTTGAAGTGGCAACCCGTACGTACCCGTAAAAATATTTTAAATCTTCTCAAGCACTTTCAGTTTTGATGAAGAAACTTATTATTTTATTGAATCTTTAAATAATTTTAAATTTTCAAATATCTGGCAAACCTATTTTCAAAATTTTTTGCGACATACCCACAGAAATAATCGAGTATAATGCAAAAAAAATAAACACATCCAATTAGCTGTTCGAGCGTGCTGTGGTTATGAAATCATAAAATATTTTTGTATTAAAACACACTTAGTAAAAGTCTTAAATGAAATTGGCATCATAGTGTTATTTTTTTTAAGACTTATGAAGGGAAATAGTCTTAATTAATAATAAAATAATAATCATTTTTAATGATTTTATAGTAATCATACGAAAAAATGTAATTTGCCCGTGTAAAATACATGGGGAACTTTAAAGCCCCGACGGCACGGGTAAATGTAAATATTAACCGATTTCAAAATAAAAATAAAACGTCCTTATTTTTGATATTCTTCAGTTCTGGGGGGTGGCAGCAGGAAAAATCAAAAAAGTTGATTTTCCTTTGAATCTTTATGTCACCCTAATGTACATCTATGTGCATTAGACTGCACCACCAAAAAAAGTTGCGATTTTCCGCCGGGATTACAAAATTATATTTGAAGACGTCCACTAAAATATTTTGGAAAAATATTGAGATTTACGTGAGCTGGACATCGATGGATAGAATATGATGTAAATGAATCATTTAAAATGATTTACCATTATGGTGTATGATTTGAGCCAATTATGAGTACGTATTTTACACCAACGGAGTTTATTTTATGTTCTAGAAACAAGAAAACTTATATACCACTGGCATAATATATATACCGAAAATCAGTAAGAAAAAATTACGGTAGGTGTAAATAATACACGAAAAAGCGGTATAACCTTTACACTGAATCGAAATAAACTGTTCAAAACCTGCGCCTAGAAATGGCATATTTTTTATATTGAAAATGTATATCACGCCGATGCAAAAAATACACAAAATATTTTGGTGCATTTTTGACTTTTGTGCTACTTGAGTCTACACGAATTCTTAGCCACTTGAAATTTGTACTTTCTTAATTTTATTACTTTTCTATTTAACTTTATGATAAAAAAGACTCGATAATTGCGACAACCTCGGTTAACGCATCAGACCACTGATTTTAATCTGTCGCAATTACCGAGGGGTATTGTAATTAAAAAATAAAGGTAATAATTTTTAAATTTCAAAATAAGTTAAAATTAGTTTTTAAATCAAAAATTATTTTTGTTTTCAATGTCTTCTTAAATCATTTACATACACATATGTTCATATATGTATATGTACACATACATTTAAATTTTTTCCAAGTATATCACTTTTTTATAAGGTATTATCTTTACCAATGTCACACAGGAAAATTTAAAATATTAACTTCAAGGTCCTCGTATCAATCAATAATACGAATTACGTTTCGTTTTAAATGTTTTACATAAACTATGTATGTATGTACATATGTACTTATGTTCATCATACGCCCCGTCAAGTCCTTTCAACTTTCTTGCTTTGCTTTTGGCATTTTCGTTGCTTCCCATTTAAAGAACCAAAAACTTGAATTCAACAGAATTGAAACGTGTAAAAGCAAATAGAAAACACAAAACTCTGATTCAGTGCGAAATCTCTTGACGAAAAAATTCCCCTTGGCAAAAAAATTGCCATTGAGCAATTTGGGGGTCCTATGACCCACTTAAAACCAATTCTGTCTTAAGAATTCGCAAGGAAGATACCCACAAACTTGCTGCAGTGTGCACAGGGTGTAGGCCCGTTGAGGTAAAGCTGTATTGGATTGCCCTTGCCCTTGAACAGGTTCTGTCGCAGTTGCGATGACCGACTTAAAGGAGACAGTCGAACACTTCCTGAGTAACTGTCCAGCCCTCGCAAGGATAAGGCTAAAGACACTCTGCAAGCCATTCCTGCAGAATGTTTTAGAGTGAAGCTGCCTCTCTCTGTATGACGTATTCAAATTCATTAAAGCCGCCAAATGGCTGTAGATTGCACAATAACAATTATTTTTGATTTTTATCTAAATAATCTGCAAACAACAGTTATTTTTGATTTTTAAATTATATGCCTTAGATAAGAGTTATCGAAGACTTTTATTTATAGAAGTCATAAATAAAAATCAGTCACTGACTTTTAGTTTTTAAATCATACTTATAAAAGTCATTTGCGTTTGGAATTTTCTTCATATTCGCTTGTGACAACGTGTGTACACATAAGGTAAAGAATAATTTAACACAACGACATGATTTATAGAAGAATTTGTATAATACAAATGATTATTCATGCGTTCAACAATTACGCGGTTTTCTTCGCTCTCTTCGTGGTTTACTTCCTACAACGAAAATGGCGTCGAGATTTCGACAGCTAGAAAATTACTTTTTTCTTTCTTTCATTGGCGCGTGATCTTGTGTCTTTCGTTCATGTATATCGTTACCTTAATATAGAAAGGCCCTAACTCATACAGTCGCTGAAATGCAAAAAAGCCGTAACTGACTAAAATTTTTTATTGCTTAAAATGGTTTGGGACACATAATTCGATGAAATACATCATAATCAATCGAAGCGGGCATTTCGGATGTTTGCTTAGTTACGGCTTTTTGTATTTCAGCGTCGTTGTGAGATAGGGCCTTTCTATATTAAGGTAACGATATGTAGGAATTTGACACTTTGGTGTTCGTGAACAGGCATCCAGAATCGGAAATTTAAATGCTTGCATTAATATTAGATATGTAGTCCTTTAAGCAGACGTATGTACTCCTGCTTTTATGAGAATAAAGAAGCATTTGTCATATAAATAAACAAAAATACAAAAAAATATATGTATATCAAAAACATAATGCAACCGAATATAGTATAATTTCTATAAAAAAGAACCGAATTAAATAGTACGAAATTTAAAAGAAGGATATTTGTGCAACATAGCGTATGAGTACAATATTTTTTTATTCAAGTTCAAAAAGTTATAACGTACAAACAAAAATATGGAGAATACTAAAATAAAGGATTCTAGGAAATCCAGGACAGCCTTTGAATGTAAGGAATGGATGTGCTCTCTCTGTGGCCACATTAAGCCTATGCTGTTCGTTCGTCACCTCGCTACGGCATTACACTCCACAAACAAATGAGATGATGTCTCCTCAGCTGAATCGCAGAAACGATACAGATCGGTCGACCAGATTCCCAGCTTGTGCAGATGGCCTCCTTATCTGCATGGTGCAGTAAGGTTGCCTGTAATTATTCCAAGTTTATGTTTGGGGAGGTTTATTAAACGTTTATATCTTTTATGATTATACCCTCCCAATAAGCTTTTAGCCTGGCGAAGTCCTATTGTACTATGCCAGTGCTGTTCCCTCCTATCTAGTGTTCCTGTTATAAGCTCCTCCCTGATAGTATTTGGGCCTATTGCCAGGAAAGACTCGGGACCTATTTGGGACGAAGTCGCCGCTGTTCTGGCTAAACCGTCTGCTATCTATCTCGTTCCCTCGTATAAGTTTGCGGCAAGGAATCCACAGTAGTTGGATTTTGTTGAATCCCGCAAGGGTATTGAGGTTGTTGACGCACTCAAGGACTAAAGCCGATTTTATTTCGAAGAATTAAGTGCCGCCTGGCTATCGCTAAGGATTAGGATTCTCTTGTTGATGTAGCCTCTAAGTAAATCGATCTCTGCGCACCTATTGATGACATATACCTCGGCTTGGTAGATACTTGGGTATATGCCCATTGGTACGGGTATAATTATTCTGGGACCATAAATACCTGCCCCAATACCTTCTGGTGTCTTGGAGCCGTCTGTGTACTACTTCTGGCCTGTATATATCCCGCGATGCAGGAGTCGCTCCAGGTCGACTTGGTGCAAAGTTCTATCTTAAATTTCCTGTCGGAAACAATTACCTTACTTATACCCTGTAGTTGTCTAGTTTCTATAGTTTTTCTCGCTAGGGCTCTGTGAAGTTTCGCAGCTGCGGGGGTAGATGAATTGCCCTCACAAAACTTCCTAAAGCTGCCTCGTTTTGTCTTTGTGATTTCCTTACTATGTTTTGTCAGACTACCCTAATACTCATCCCAGTGTCATGTGCGTTTGTCTCTATTAAATAACCTGCGTACCCTGTTTCTAAGTTCAGACAGTTCCCGAGACCCCCACACAGTTTTCTTTCCACACCTTGGCTTGATCTCGGGATATGGAGTTGAAGGGTTCTGTTACAATACCATTAAGTATATCGACTCTATGCTCAGATTCCAGTAGGTAACAAATGTTGGTTAGTGGCCAACATTGGGGATACTAAGGTCCGTGCTTATTATATAAAGTAGAGACTCACCACTGCGATTTGTTGTTGTTTTTACCGACTTTCAGCGTCCCCTGTACCTCTACAAGATCTTGTGTTAAGAACTCTGTAATGCAAAGATAGTCAATGTCATTTCTAAGCACTACACACGCTCTGCGCCTCTCAGTCCAGAGGTCACATATTACCTTTTTTTGCTGTGGTTTAGGCTCCTTAGCTGGCCTTTGTAGCTCCACGGTTCTTGTACCAGTAGCCCTTATATCTAGCCCTTCTAAGAGCTCCTGCGTGGAGGGGACGTACTCCGCCGTACTTGTACTTTCTGTTGGAGGTATGGTTGCAGTAGCTGGTGACTGTATAGATGACTGTATAGGTGTGGATATTGCTGTTGCTGTGTGGGTGGTGGCTATTTCGCAGGCTGGGTGGGCATCAGTGGTGGGTGCGGAGTTTAGAAAGGTATGGCCGTATCAGGGGCAGGGGCTGCGTCAGCCTGGGTTTCCTGGGACTCTTCCACCTTATTACCAGTTGACTTCGGTCGCCATGGCCTGACGGTGACGAAGCTATATCTATAGTTAATATTGAAGCCTGCCCTTTTGATGCTGCAATACGACTCCTCGTCTATGCCCATGTGTAGTCTTAGGCCAGTGTTCTCAATGCTGCTTGAGATCACTCTCCACGCGGAGGTGTTCAAGCCCTCATTCTGCGCTTTGAGTAGTCCCAGAGCGTATTCAGCCGATTTGTCTGCGCTTCTTGGTAGGAACACCGTAACGTTATGCAACGGAAGGATTTCATCTCCCCTTTTGGTACACAATGCGGGTCCCTTCCAACCCTCAAGCTTAGGAGTAACCTGTGCAAGCCATGCCGCCGTCCTCTCATCCTTGCAATCAACAAGTAGTAAGCCGAATCTAAAGTAGACACCACAGAACACCAATGGGTGAGACCAACCGTTGGAGACCGCATCCATAATGGCGTCCTGAAGATCGGTAAGCTCATCCGAGCTAAGTGCTACAGCAGGGAAGTCTCTCGGCAGCACCGCTAGACGAATGCCCTGGAGGGGCACCCCCTGCGTCTGCCCTTGGTCAGATTGCCCACCCTGGCTCCTGGGCCATGATGCTGGAGGTGGTGCGTGCTCCCGCTGCCGCTTGTGGGTAGGGTGCTCTGGTGATGTGATTTGCCCGCTCTTCCACTTTGAAGCAGGTGCGGGTTTATGGTGGCTATAGTTTTTCCCACTTCTCTGCTTGCTAGCAGGCGCGGGCTCTTTGGTATCGTTTGTTTGCTCCTCTACGGATGCGGCTCTCTCCTTTTTGGCTCTGTCCTCCTCCTTCACCCTTTCGCCGGCGAGAGTTCGCGCTACATCTGGCGTCTTGCCTTGCTCAAGATATCGAAGGTACCATTTGGCTCCCGAACCAGCCAAGCCAGTTCGATTCTGGTCATGAAATGCGCCTGGATGACCGGATGAAGGCAATGGGGAAGGTTTCGCCCTCCTGTGCTTCCTGCGTGCTGTCTGCCACTCTGCTTCGCATGAAGCCGATGACCCTGAGCGAATCGGTGACCTGCGACGCCTGCTCGTGGACCTCGAGCGATGCCTGGCCGGGGAACCCGAGTGATGCCTGCTAGTCGAGCGACGCCCACTGATCGATTGGGTCGTTCTGCTGGAGCGGTGCCTGTTCTCGGAGCTGCACTGACTGCAAGAATGCTCACTCCCATGGTGCCTGAAATTAGATTCTTCATTAGATTACTTAGTGATTTACCATAGTTGTTGCTTCCGCTAGAGGCGGTACCATGCCTGTCAGATTTAGGGAGGGCCTTTTCGTGGTAAAACCCCTCACTGGTGGATGGCTCATCATCGTCCGTGCTCGCGTGCTCGATGAACAGGGCTGCTTCAGTGTCAGAAGGACACTCCATGAAGCTGCCTCTTCTCTTAGTACTCTTCGGGTAGCTGCCTATCTGTGTGTTGCTACCTGCTGGCGCTGTTGTTACCGTTACTGTTGCTCTTGTTTCTGAAGTTCCAGTTGTTGTTTTTTGTTGTTTTTTTGTGATTGTTTTTAGTTGGTTGTTGCTCATCTTGTTCGTACGACCGCCTGATCGTCGGGGCGAACTCAGCGGTCTATGCATATAAGGGGGATCTCGAACGTCCGCCGCGGCAGCGCCCCATGTCGCGGTAAGGCCACCGTTACTCCTCGAGGCGGCCCGGTGTCGAGAAGGCGCCGTTCTAATACAACCGGATTATTCCCTCCTGGCTGCAAACCGTCCAATAGGCACGGTGTCGCGTAACACCCTGGATTAGGAGGTGGCAGTTCTTGGTCGCTGTTCTCCAGCGGTTCTAAGCTGGAAGGGGGTAGCGCAGGAACTAAAAGAGTGACTGCGTTACCCCAGTCCAGAGAATAGCCGATTGGCGATTCAGCTAAGCCCCCGCACCAACGGCAAGGTGCCTGCCCTAGCGAGGGCACGATTATAGTCACATATTTAATTTGGCCGATGTGCACCGAAAAAGATTGGCACAATATGCGATGATGATGGGACCATTTAAAAAGTAGTTGTAGTAAACTCTTCTATCATCTGAGGCAACTTTTTGAAACCGATTTTTTATGGAGACTAATGCACCCTAATGTGCACTCCTGACTTGATGTCTCTATGCAAGGACTACAAACATTCCGCACATTGTATTGTTTAAAGGTTTACATGAAACAAAGAAAAAAAACCAAATCGATTTCCGCAGTCAATAACACTCAACCCATTAAAGGGCATGTTTTGGCCTTCTTGTCCGTGTCTAGCTCACGCAATTCGTAATATTGATCATTTTAAGCAACTATCTGATTTTCAGGGCAACCATCACCCCTAACAGAGCTTCAAAGAGCAGGGAATGTGTTTTTTTTTTGCCTTGCAAGAGTGTGGCATTTTAAGAAACGAACACAAAATTTTCTCACCTTTGCCATTATTTTAAAACCGAATACGAAAAGAGAAAGGGACAAGCTAAAGGCGACACTTTTTGGTAGAAAAAAATCACCATTAGTGTTTACTTTTTACTTTTTTAGCTCAGAGGCACTTCCGAAGAAATAAACGGTAAGTAATGGGTTGAGTTCAGAAATATATCAAGCCAAATCATCAGACGCTTTTATTTCTAAACTATAATTGATGGAAATGTCCAATATACGCAACCGCGGGTAAATGTCTAATTGGAACGTAACTGCGTAAATATGATGCTTTGGCTTGATGCATTTCTGAACGCGCCCATGCCTTTACACCCTTATGGCTCTGAGGGGCCAATGAATGCGACATACTACTCCATACAATCCAAGCGCATTGTACAATTGAACATACATACATTTTGCGCTGGATGAGTGTTGAACATTATTTACTAAGTTCTTTTGATAAGCAGATTACGGTTATTATCGTCAGTTTGGCCATAAATTGCTGCCGTTAAAAGATATTAACCAATTAATTGTTTATTTCGTAAATTAACTGAGTCCCTCGGCCTATTTATTCAAAAGAGAGAAAATCAAAGAAATTATGGACAAACAAATGAGTGATAAATACGAAATAAAGATCCCAAGGGACTATAAACCAAGATTATTTATAACTGATATGCACTTTGAAAAAAATAGTGATGAATTGATAGAATGTTTAAAGAACCAAAACAAATGCCTAGAGCAAGGCGAAATAAAAGTTATTAAACAATATAGTGTCAAAAATAACACCAAAACCTATTATAACGCAATTGTAGAGGTGGATGAGTGTATGTTTACTAGCGTTATGAAGTTAGATAAGCTAAACATAGGATGGGAAAGATGCAGATTTTACGATGGTGTTAACGTGACAACGTGTTTTAAATGCAAAGGATACAATCATAAAGCGACCGATTGTAAAAGTGAAGAAGTGTGCAGTAAATGTCTGGGAAAACACAAAACCACGGAGTGTAATGAAACTCCTAAAAACAAGTGTATAAATTGCATAAAGGCTAATGAAAAATTGAACTTAGGGCTAGACGAAAATCACTTATGTAATAGCCGAGATTGTCCAGTCTATTTAAAGCACTTAAGTGCAAAAAAGCATAGGCTTGGTTATTAGCAACTAACACACCACTCAGAAGTTGTAGATCAACATGAGGAATATATTCCCGCAAAAGTTAACCGCAAAAGCAAGTCTGCAAATGCTGCTAACAGTGTATTAAAATGTATTTACTTAAATATTAATAGCATAGTTTCGAATAAAAGTGAATTGGAAGTGATGGCGGAAGTTCATAAGCCGGCGATCATATTATGCTCTGAAACGTGTACAACAAAAGATATTGAAGATAAAGAATTGGAAATAGCAACTTTTAACATGATAAGATGTGATTCCCACAGCAGGCACACTGGCGGAGTACTAATATACGTACATAGAGAAATAAACTTTAATATAATATACAATGATAGTGTTAACATGAACTTGTGGTGTATTGTAATAAAATTGAAAAAACTGGGTAAAAAGTGGCAAATAGGGGTGCTCTATCACTCGCCAAGCACAAGTGATGCAGCTTTCTTAAACTATTTAAATGAAATATTAATTGATAAATATGAAAAAAGTAACCACAATATAATAACTAGTTGGTGATTTTAATATTAACATGAATCATATATCAACATATAGTACAAGACTGAATGAAATATTTTCGGTGATGGGTATGGCTCAAAAAGTGGATTTTAATACACGAATTACGGATACAACTGAATCTAAAATTGATCTCGTATATTCAAATTCAGAAGAAATAAAGTGTAAATCTTTGCAAGCATACAAAATTTCCGATCATGAAACTATAATGTTCAATGTTCCATCATCTAAATCTTATAAGATGAGAGTGTCCAAGAAAATTATTGCTTGGGATAAATATAGTAATGACAGTTTATTAAACCTACTAAGGACTTTTAATTTTAATATCGATGAAAACGCATTAATTGATGATAAAGTTGAACTAGTGAACCACATTTTAACGCAAGCAATGGAAAATTTAACTTATGAAAAAGAAGTACATATAAAACTAATGAATAAGTGGTACGATAGAGAGCTTGCACAATTAAATAAACATAAATTTTATTTATATACATGTGCTATACAGACAGGATTGTGGGATGAATACAAAAATATTAATAAAATGTATAAAAACCTGGTTAAAATAAAGAAAATTAAATACATGGAAAATAAAGTCATAATGAATGAAAACAACGCCAAAGAAATGTGGAAGTACCTTAAATCCACGGTCTGCTTGGCGCGTGATAAGGAAGGTATTAATAAAGCGGTAATCGATGGTATATTGATAGAAGATGATCTTGCTTTGGCAAATGGACTTAACAAGTTTTTTATAAATAGTGTGATAGAAATAAATAATATTATAGAATATTTCGATATAACACTAAGTGGTAGTCACGCCAATTCCGAATTTAAGTTTGCAAAAATTACAACCGATGAAGTTATAAAAATCCTGCAAGATTTTAAATACAAAATAGGCGGTAGAAAAATTCTGTCTGACGGTGTAATAAAAGACTCTATAATGTATACAGGGTATTTCTACGCCCAAATAATAAATAGCAGTTTGGAAGATGGTATTGTACCAGAAAAGTGGAAAATGTCAACGGTGATCCCAGTTGAAAAAGTCAAAAAGACAATACAACCAGAAGAGCTCAGACCCATAAATACCATACCAAGTGATGCTAAAATTCTTGAGGTGTATGTTAAGAATCAATTGGTAAAACATCTAGATTCAAACAAAATACTTATCAGTCAACAGTCGGGTTTTAGGAAAAAACATTCGTGCGAAACAGCTCTTAACTTTGTGATATCGGAGTGGAAAGACGACCTAAATAATAAGAAAGTGGTGGTTGCTGTCTTTCTTGACCTTAGTCTACGTTTTTTCATTTAGCTTGAATATTTCCAATCATAAAGCCCTAAAACTCCATATTTCTGCCTTTTTCGACTTTCATGGCCTGTAAGTACATACATTTTTGAGTCTGGATAATAAATTTTAGTAATTTAGTAATTTTTTAAAGCCTTTATATATATGCCAAGAAAAAATGTGTGTATCTCGAACAATTCAATAGTTATAACATTTTTAATGAATACACATTTTTTTACATGATATTTACATGAAAAATTTCAAATGCCCACCTTCTAAAATTGAAAAAAAAATTGTTCAAATGGGAGAGCTTTTTTCTGACGAAATAGGTCTTTTTATAAAGCCATAAATTCGTTAGGTTAGTTATTTTGGATTAGCCTAATATGTATGTATGCATTCGCAAGCACACACACTGTCAACACCTGCACAACGAATGAAAGTGTTTCATTAGATTTGACGAAAAAAATTTTAAAATATAATTGCCTTATGAAGTGCATTAGGGCAGAAAACGAGAACCGATAACTAATACTATTTCCTAAAAACCTAAAAAGGTAGGTTCCACAAATAAAAAAAATTAAATTCGAGTTTTTGTTCTTCTAAAGACAATGTTTATTACATTGCATATACATATGTATGTATCTCGGAATTTTTAATTACACTAAAATCCTACTGTAAACTACAGTATATTGACAAAATATTTTCAAATCTAAAATACATTACTTACGCAATTTAGCTACAATATTAGTTTTGTCTTGGGGTGGTGGATTTGACGAGTTGTTAAGCAAAGCTGTGAGTGTTGCATGCGATGAGCTTAGTGTACTTGGCTTTGTAAGTGGAGTTGCGTCGCTGGAGCTGGTGGCAATATTGCAACTTCCTGCAGCAGCAGTAGCAGCATTATTAGTATTTACTTTATTTAGTGGTGTTACAGCTGCGTCTGCTGAAGATACTGTGGTAATATTGGCGATTGGGGTGGTCGTTTTAATACTACCACCGGTATTACTATTTGTACGGTTATTCTGTGCTGCAATCCCCTGGAGCAGTGCATTACGTAAGTGACTATTACCCTGGGCACCAGGACCAACGGAAAATGAGTTTGTAATTAATCCACGGCTCTTTATGTTCAAATCGACAAAGAATAACTTCATCTTTTGGATCATAAATTCTGGCACAGTAAATGTGTTCATAACATTAAGATCTATATTCGGCTTGTTTCGATATGTTTCGTGTGTTTGCTTCAATCGACAGACTTCTTCATGTATCAGAAAGAGAAAACGAGAATTGCGATTTTGTGCAGCTATAACATTTTGTGAACTTAGCCAATCTCGATCTTCATTGTCAGGTAAATAGCGGATTAGTTCAGGATGTTTGCTAGCTAAGCGCTCTTTTCCATCTGTGCCAAATCCAAAAGCTTGATTAGCCTGCACATCTAAAACGAATTTGGTTGTGGTCGAAATATGGGCTGTGTTCCAAAAAATTTGCCTTCGACCAGAAGTAGCCGAAGCCGGTACAGTACCCGATTTCTGTTGTTGATTTTGCTGAGGCAAGGATTGAGATTGTTGCAAGAAGGTTGGCGTTGAACCCAGATTAGCTTTTGCATTTCCAGTAGAAACTACAGTGCTAGACACATTAATTGGAATAACGGGCTGCACTTGTTGCTGAGTTGAGACGGTTAACAGTTTTTTGGCGGGCAACTCATTGAAATCGGCAAGTTTAGGTGGTGGACGTCTGACAGCAAAACGTAGACTAGTTGCTTCACTGGTGGTATACTGTGGTATTGTATTGGGGGCAGTAATGGATACGCATGCTAATGGCTGCTTTATAGAGCGATAGGGATTGTATTGTGCCTTTGCGTTCTCTAATAGTGCACACGACATCTTTTGCAACTAAAAAATTTATTTACAACCAATTTATTAGACAAATTTGTATATATGTATGTATGTACTAAGGAAAATTACTCACAATTTCCTCAGATACAACGTTTTGACCCAAATTCTCTTTAATGTTTTGAAATGCTGGTTTGAAATAGGTCTGAAAAAATTTAAATATTAACTCATGTTAGGAAATTAAATTTATTACTTTTAAATTAATTATTTTCGCTTACCTCCATGTACTGCTTTATAATGACATCGATTTCATGGTCAAAGGATTGTTGAATGCTAATACGTAGCAACTCAAGCGAACGCATGGCCGATTCTGCAGTGGCCCCTGTACCACTTACTTGTACAGGACAACTTAAACGCTGACGTAAGCGCTGGAGCATCGTCTCGGCCATGTGAGGTGTAGTAACATATTTCTTAAATTTATTTAAACTTAATATTTAAATTTTTTATAGTTAATATATTATTCGTACCATGGTATCGATAGAAGCAGTGGATGTGTTCGTAGAAATGGCACTGTTTATGACTGGGAATGTAGGGTTTGGCGGCTGTTGTACCGATGTTTGGGCTGATTGTACTTCCAATTTCATTACTGGGGGACTAGCAACGCTAGTAACCATTGAATGTGTTGTTTGATTGGAGCAATTGGAGTCGTCCGAAGATGACTGTAAGCCAGTTGGCGACCTATTTGCTTCTGTAGAAGATGCAGAAGTGGAGCCTGCATCGCTTAGAATTTTCCAGCTGCGTTGGATTACCATTTTCTTTTGAATTTATTCCTTGTAATGTATTGTGTTTCTCAATTTCAAGTATGGTACAATACACTATTTTCTTCGTTGATACAAGTTTTCGTAACTGTTTACTGATGTGAAATGGCTGCAGCATTGACCAGGCACGCGAAATAATAAAGTTGTGTATCGATATTCTACTCAAGCTCCCGCGTTGCTCACTGCTATCGTATTTGCTCTGTAGACCCGTTGAAGTGGTCATTGCGCAGATGCAAACAAACCACTTTCTACCCCTAAAACATAAGTTCTCATTTAGTAGCATTTACGAAGCAACAGGAGCAACTATAACTGCTTTCCTAGTCACCACCATTAACATCACAGGTCAAAAATTGGTCAGCAGGCTCATCAATTTCTAATCTTCGTTCAGCTTCTAACAAAGCAAGCAGTGATCCATTTTCAGTCTTGTCAAATTTTGCGTACTCGTCTTCATCACAATTGACCGTTTCCGTTGTGTCCATTTCTGCTGAATTGGAGTGTTTTCGGAAGCGTCTTTGTTTTTTGCAAGCTAACTTAGCATCAAACTCTTCCATATATACCAGTGGTTCAGTATAGTCGCTGGGCTTTTGATAACTTTCATTAACAGGATATCCTAATACGTCAGGAACCATGAACACAAAAAGCCACCCTACTAATGGTGTGGACCCACATGTATAACTTGATTCTTTGTGGTAAAACAACAATCCATCAAGCTCTGGTACATTGTTAGGAAAGAATGGAAAGCGTAGCAGAGCTTCCGATACATTTTCAATATTCTCCATATCTAATCGTTCCAACAATATCAAAGGTTTTTCATTGTTTATGCCACGCTCGGCCAGGTCATGGCACTCATCAAACTTTGAACGTAACCAGAAAAAGCGAAATTGCGCCTCACAATGAATAAGTTCTTGATTCCCATAAATTAAGGCGTCCAACACATAAAAGGTATCTTGATCAGAAGAATAAACACAGTCGAGTAACGTGCTTATTTTACTTCCTCGTTGTCCATTGTCACCGGGTAAACAAGTGTGAAAAGTCATCCGCTTACGGCCTGCTTTGGAATACATATCAGTACGTCCATTAGTAGCCATCAACAAACAACGCTGACCCTTTGGGCATGGTACCATGGCCCAATCATCCAAGCTCACGGGTCTGTCGCGGAGCCATTCAGATAGTTGTAGCGTATAGTCAGAACCATAAGCATCTTTTAAGGCCCTTGAAGCCCCTAATTTACCACCATGTGCGCACAATTTAGTTTTGTGCCGGTTATCACTCAAATCAGCATCGCGTTGTAAATCCTGCAGTAAGAAACGTTTGCGTTTTTGCTCCTCTAATAGTTTTTTACGCCTCTCTTCTTGCAATTGAAATCTACCTTTGATGCTTTGCTTATATAAATCGCGAAACATTGTGAACAAATTCTCAATCTAAAAATGATAAGTACATAATTAAAATAAAAACAATTTGCGGCTCCAAATACTTTTCATAAAAAACCTTCTCGCAAATTAGCGCTGTGAAACTATCGATGGTACTATCGATACTAGCGAATGGTTATATTTGTATGCACTATCGAATGGTTGTTGGCCGCTATCGATAGTCTATGCTTGAGGAAATATATACATATATGAGCCGTCATAGATTCGCCAACAGTTAGCGAGTGGCGAAACGAACGAACTCAATGAGGTACACCCAAACTCGCTATCGTCTATCCGTGCTAGCTAACTTTGTTGTTGCTTTCACATGCAAAATTCTTCTTTAAGCGACCGGACTCAAACATAGCGAGCGAGAAGTGGCGAATCGATGACGGCTACATATATACCAGCTGCATTCCAGCAGCAGTGGGAATAGCAGGAATTTACAGGATATTACAGGAAGCTGTTCCCGCATGACACCTTACATAAAGTTTATTCAAAGAACGTAAATCTATAAGAAGAGACAACACGTTATAATTGTAACGAGTGGGAACATCAGGAGCGTGCTTTCTCTTTCGCCCAAATACGTTTTGTGATTGGATGAAAAAAGAAGGCACGCTCCTCATGTTGACACTCGCTACAATTATAACGTGTTGTCTCCTCTTAAAGATTTACGTCTAAATATTTAGTATTAGCAACGGGCTTTTTCGTGCCTTTTCGTGCTTTTCTGAAATTTTACTGAACGCCCAGGCCCGCACGAGTTCGTGCTGACAGCAAATGTTCCGGACCGTACCCGTACCCCGACGGGCCCCTGCGTAAGCACGGCCCGTGCCCATCTTTAGCCTCGATTGAACAAACTATTCTTATATCGATGAGAAAAGAACAAAGTTACTGATAATCGCTATATAACAATTAGCTAATTCTTCAGGAACCAAACAAAACTAAAAAGTTTATATAAATAGCTTCGTCAATGCATTTTAAAATTATCCGATACTATCGATAGTTTCATTGCAAATGACATGTGTGTGATAGCCCCACATGGGTTTCGATAATTTAGCAGACAGAAAATACTATCGACTAATCGCTTAGGATAGAGCTCCACACCAAGCTTTTGAGACTTGCTAACAGCGCATGATCCAACTACACAAGATCTGACAAGATGAAGCAAAAGAATAAAGTAATTTTCTGGCTGACGTTTGTAATTTCGGCGGCATGTTATTTTCTTTGAAAAGTAAACAAGGAAGATGAAGACGAAGCAATGAGGAAAAAATGCAAGCAACTTTGCGGCACATGTTTGTGCTAATAAATTTACTATTTTGTACGTGTTTTTGCAACAAATCACCGCGCACTTTATTTTAATTACATTTGCATAAAAAATTTATTGGAACTCACTTAATAGAGGTGGGTAACTCAGAACTGTGCTGATTTACTGTGCTGACTCTTAGAACTGTGCCGCACGCTCAGACTCACTTCTGAAAAAGTTTTTAACTCAGTAACTCAGTTTATGTGCTGACAATGTATAGCTCAGTGTGCTACAGAGTCGATATGGTAACTCAGTTGATGTGCTGACACTTGCATAGCTCGGTGCGGCTTGCATTGTTTAGAACTGTGTCGATGTAATAACTCAATTGATGAGCTGACACATTCACACAATACGATCTTCCAAAAAGTACCATAATAGATGGCATCACTAGACTAACCATCAATTGAATATACGATTTCCAAATTTAACAAGAAGCAAGGCGAATAGCCCAGTTATGCATACTTGCACTGTTATACCATTTTTACGTTAAAATCAAAACCAAACAGAATTCTACATGTGAAGTGCTATGCGTTGGGTAACCGCTTACATGCATAGCCCATTTAACAGATTCTTGTATGACAACTCTCAAGCAAAGCTAAGTATGCATAACTGGGCTAGAAGTTAATACATCCAAGGGGAATTATTTTGCAAATGAACTCACCAGTTGAAATAGGTTTCTAAAATTTTGCCGGACAGCTACGAACAGAAGCTAAAGATAATCTTTTCTAAATCGATTTCGATTACTAACATCATCAAAAATTTCGATGTACATACCAATTGTGCGATAGCACACTTGTGCCAGCTCACTGTGCTGACTCATTAAAGTGAGTTGGAGTTACTGAGTCAGCACACCAAAATTTACAGAGTTACCCACCCTTATCACTTAAAATTCGCTGAAATAAACGACCGACAAAATACACATAAAGAAAGAAGCAAATCAGAAATAACAACTTCAAAATTACGAACGTCACACATTTTTTTCTAAATTGCTATTACAAATGGTTGCTTCTCAACCAATAATTTCTGTTCTAATTGGTTCATGCTAACACCGCCGAGAGCAGTGTTGCCGTGACGCCATGAAAAAAATGTATCGTAAAAGAAACAAAAATGGATCAAAGTAAGTAAGTTAGGTATCAAAGAGTCAAGTTAAAAAAAAAACTTAAAAAACTGCTATTTGGTTTTATACCATTGCTTTATATTATTGTCGATAGCCGAAAAATCATGTATTTCGCATTCATACACATACATACATATGTATCTACAACAAGAAAAATCTTTTACACAATTAGGGGATTCACAAGACGTGTTAACCGTCGTAAAATCTTAAGGTTAACATCTTTTTTAATTAAAATGGTTTTAGGGGATTTCTAACTAAACCGAAATTCTTTTAAACTGATAAAGAATATATAATTAGCCAACCCCCCAACCATTTTAACCGCTATTTTACATAAACAAGTGTTAAGCTTAAGATTTTACGACGGTTAACACGTCTTGTGAATCCCCTAAATGTGACAATCTATAAAAAAAATAAATTATTGTTTTTAATCTTGTATAGAGATGAACAAAAAATATATTGGCTGCATTTCTTTATCCCTTCTGAACGTTTGGAATACATTTTTTTGTTTACTTTTTCTTTAGAACGTTCTTGATAATAGGTTACTGTTTATTTCAAACGAATTCAGTTTATTCTGCCTGTGAGATGGGATTGTCTAGAAAGTATGAAGAAACGCAGCCTTTGTATAGATTTTAAAGAAGCTTGAATTCAAACATATGTACATTATACTGCACCACCAAAAAAAGTTGCGGTTTTTCCGCCGCGATTACAAAATTTATTACATTTTAAGACGCTGTTTTGTCATCTGAGGGGACTTTTTTCAAAAAGTTCTTTAAGAAACTATTTTCATTCATAAAAAAAACTCCATTTTTGGAGGTATTTTCAAATCGGTCGAGCTCGCTTAAATCTTAATATTTTTCCAAAATACTTTGGTGGACGTCTTAAAATATAATAGATTTTGTAATGCCAATGGAAAAACAGTACCGATTTTTTTTTCTTATGGGGAGTGATGCAGTCTAATTTACATATATACATATTGTATGAAATACGACAAAATGTGATCAAAATTTCTACTAAATTAACGACACTTTTTATTCAATATCTCCGAAACTAAAGGAGATATCCAAAAATGAAGAACACCATTTCTAAGATATTGATAAGTTTAATATGACTGCATCACTAACTTAATTTTAACTAAATTATCGAAAAAGTTGTAGTCAATATCTAGAACTAAATATCGTCAAAATGGCGCTTACGACAATCTTTTACCCAGGCGACGATACTCGATACTTTTCGTTGGATACCAATTAATTTTGGTATCGGGGCGAATTTTCTTTTGGAACTTTTTCTCCGCTAATATGAATCGCTCGATGATTTATGACTGTATAAACGAGAGCGGCCTTTAAATATTGAAGATGTTATTTTTTTCCTGAAACCAGTATGCAAAAAGCTTTTTTAAAAGATATTTTTGTTGTTCTTGCATTAGGGAATCCATTTTCATGGTCGCAAAAACAAAAAAAAATTAAAGTTCATTGTACGCTGCTCTTAGTTAGTTAGTTCGTTGGGTAACGCACTGCGACCGTTAGGTATATTGTGCCCCTAGCTCATCACAACACCTCAACCAGCCCCAGAGTGTTTATAAACTTCACAATAGACCCCGGGGACAGTGAGTGTGAGCTTCTATCTTGGCCAGACGTTCCCTATGCTCCTATACCTCCAGCGCGCAACGGCCTCAAACTCCATCAGAAGGTGTAGGGGAGTTTCCCTGGCCGCATCGCAGAAGCGACGCAGGTCCCTGGACCAGATACCTAGATGGTACAAGTGTCGGCTGAGCCTACAGTGGCCAGTCAAAAATCCTGTAATCTTTTGGAAGATTCATGAGTAGCCTGTATCTTATCAGATTGCAACCTCCTAATATGCTTTTAGCCTGACGTTGACCCATAGTGCCACGCCAGTGCAGTTCCCTCAGTTTGCAATTGTCCGTTCTGAGCATATCCTTTATGGTACTGGGTCCCAATGCCAGAAAGGGCTCAGGTCCTATCGGGGTCGAGCAAGCCGCTAATCTGGCCAGGTGATCAGCCTCCTGCAACCCTATGTGCCCAGGTACCCACATTAGTTGGATATCATTAACCTCCGCCAGAGCATTAAGCCTCTCGACACACTCCAAAACCAAGGAGGACATAAGTGCCACCTGACTATCACTTAGTATAAGTATCCTTTCATTCCTATAGTTCCTGCTAATGTTAATCGCTGCGCACTATGTCGTCCGCGTACCCTTGGCAACGGACGCCCTCGTTAGTGAGTATCTGTAGGAGTTCGTCCACAACTAAGCTCCACAGTAGAGGAGATAGTACTCCCCCTTGCGGGCACCCTTTTGTCATTTGTATTTGAACGACGCTGTCACCAACTTCATTTTTGGCGATCCTGGTCTGCAGTAACCTTGTTATCCATCGCCGGATGGTTAGCTGAACGTTATGTTTCTCAAGAGCATTATCAGAGGCCCCCCGATATCGAGGAAGGCACAGAGCACCACCTCATCACACTCAAAGGCCCCTTGTATTTCCTCCGTTAAGGCATACAGCGCAGTGTCCGTGGACCTACCCACCCTGTACACGTGCTGGTCGGAATGCAGAGGGGTTTGTTGCAGAGTGTTTAACCTGATTTCATGGTCAATAATTTTGAATGACTTGGCAAGAGAGTAATCTCTTTTACCTGCCTTCGGGATAAAGGTAACCCTGGCCCTCTGCCACA